CAGCTCTCACTCCCACAATACAAAGTAGCAGGAAGAGGGATAAATAACCAGGGATTAGGAGTAACTAGCCGGTTTATTTGGGTCTACTGATAACTGCCAACATTAAACAAGGATCCTCTTTAGTTGTGGCATAATATATACTACCCTTACAAGTAAGGGACCCCTTTTCTCACCCAAATTTTCCTGGCAATACAATCTGAAATAAACAGTAAGAGTTGTGAACAAGCCTTACCATGTTGACTCATACTATAGCTTGTTAATACTGTCCCATGAACATCTCCTTTAGAAATCTGTGTCAGCCAAAGCTGTCTTCCCAAGAAAATGGTATATGTATTATTTCCCGTGTCTGCTAATGTGATTCCCTTTATCCTCTGACTTCTAGGAAGTGTGGAGCTGCATGTGACGATCAGCCTCATCACCTGTCTTAGCCCTTACGGTTAGTATTTTTTCCCTTCCTTCTATAGTTTTGACTTTTTCTTTTTTTTTTAAGATTTATTTATTTATTTGAGAGAGTTAGCGAACGCACGAACAGAGGGGAGAGGGAGAAGCAGGCTCCCCAGTAAGCAGGGAGCCCTATGCGGGACTCGATCTCAGGACCCTGGGATTATGACCTGAGCTGAAGGCAGACACTTAACTGACTGAGCCACCCAGGCACCCCTAGTTTTGACTTTCTATTTATATTGTATGTGTCTTGTGTTATAAGCCATCTCAAATGCTCACTAAAAAGAGGGAGTGTAAGTATACTAATAGACTTCCTTAAAACCACTTATGCAATCTTAGCTCCTAACATGCACCTGTCTCTACCTATTCCAAATAAAAAGTACTTTTTGGTAGATGAGGAAACTGAGGCACGGAACCTCACTTGCTTAAGGTGGTACCCATTTAGTTGACTTCTTGACACCCAGATCAAACCTTGAATCAAACCAACAAGTCCTATTAACTTCACAGTACTGTGGTAGACCCTCAGGCATACAAAACTAAGTTAGGATTACAGTTGAAGAATCTCAATCTATGCTTTTAATTGATGGACATCTACTCTTCCCCCAAAATGAGTAAGATTTCACCAGTTACACTGGAATCCGATCTAAGGACCATCAAGGTCACCCTAAAGTAATCTATAGATTGACTGGCACCTCACTTCCTGAGGGGCCTTGGAATGATCTAAGGATTACTTGGTCTAGAGCCACACTGGAATCCTCATAGGGTAAGGCCAGCACCTTTTGAAGAGGCCTTTTTCTTACATCATTCAGTACACACCAAGCTACATTTTTTCTCTTTTCTCATGCTTTCTCACATTATCCACACATGGCAGAGGTACAAAAGTGACTTAAGACACAATATCCAATTCAGTTGTTCTGAAAAAACGGATCACCTAGAACTTGCTATGTGACCTTGACTAGTCCTCAGTCAACTCATTAACTAAATAAATGCCTTTAATCATCACTAGGGAAAGGGTAATTAGTCATCATAAATCACTCTAATACAAAGTGCTGTGTAAATGCTAAACAACAAACCTCAGAAAGAGCAAGATTAATAAGAAACACGAGGGACATTTACCAACAAACGGAAACTTATAATAGGGTCTTCCCACATTCCTGGCAGAGACTCCTCATTTCAGCTAATGGAATGACTCTTTAAAATCATTAGCATTTGGCTTGACAATAATACATATTAACAATATTCCTCCTGGGAAGAAAAGAGGAAAAGGAATATTTATTCCTGGTAGGTGGTCCTACAGACATCTCAATTACTAGTTAGCCAGGTGGGAAATTAAGTTTTGAATATCTACTGTATGCTAGGTATAGAGCTAGGCACAATACATACACCGGTGAATAAGAGTCCCTGCCTTTATGGAGTTTACAATCTACAATACAAACTTTGCACTACTAATTAGTGGCACTTGGCAAGAATACGGGCTTACTAAAATTAAGGCACGTAAGAATAAAGACGCTTAATCCCTGAAGCAACTAGACAAAAGAGGATAGGCTAATGGGGAGAGGAAGAGTTCAGGGAATTAGGGTACCAGAGCTTTTCCCCTAACTCATCGTAGGTATTACCCTTAAGCATTCTTAGAAAGACTGTGACTGTGTCTCCAAATACTGCAGATTACAGTTACTGCCCCAACAAAGCAGTCAACTGAACTGAGAGCACTAAAAATAAGGTTAATCAGACTCCACAGAATCAAAGGATCTTCTACTACCTTTTTAAGGCATTCTATCGGTAAGTTCCTTAATTTTGTGGGAAAAGGGAGCTACAGCGCACCATGGCAACCCGTCTTTTCAATCCTGCATTTGATTTCTGGAGTGGTAGATTAATCTCATTTAAAAACAAAGTCATCCCTCCCACTATGACAGTATAACTAATTCAGGTGTAGAAGCCTCAAGGACTGTATTCCTGCAAACCATGTATTCAGCTTATACAAGCACTGCATCCCATCAAACACTGCAGGCAGAGACAGCCTTGAAACTCTGTCTTTACAGGAGGAAAATATTTACCCAGCTTCTCATCAGTTTCAGAAAGGTCACCTCTCTGCAAAGGTTCTCCCGTCTACTGTTAACTGGGTGCCAGGTATGTGGAAAGTCAAGATGTGGTTGGCAGCAAATGCTCACAAAGCACTTGGGATCCCAATTCCATCGTTCAGAGAGCTAGTTAGACTAAAATCTCCAAAGGCTGCTATTTAATCTTTCACGACAAGAGAATTAGAAGGGTGTCCTCTGAGCTCAACCTGCAGCACAATAGACTAAACTTGTTCTGCCTCAGTTAAGTGCGGTAAAGAATGAGCAATCCTTCCTTACCACCCACCCCTCCAACCCACCCAAGCTCCTTTCTCAAGGGATGCTAAGTGATCTACTCACATGACTACGATCAACCTGTATCCATGACAGTGTCTGTCACCAACCTGCAAACCTTAACATCTTACATATCTCGAAGCAACTGGATGACCACAGAAGGTGAGAATCTTACTTTCCTTTTCAATCTCACACTGCCCTCGCTGCTTTCACCTGCATAGAAGAGCTAGCTCCACGTATTTTTTCCTCTGGCCTCCAAGCTAGCACGCAGTTGTTGGATAAACCAGCCACTGCTCCCAAGGATTTGCCCAAAGCAGCTCTGCCGGATTTACCCACTCACCTGAGGGGAGATTTTCTGTACAGCGCCATCCCCGGGGGCTGGTCACAAGGGTCGACTGAGTTGGCTCACCACCCCCCCTCCCGTCTTCGAAAGGCCCTTCATCCAGGAAAACTCCGCCGCAAATTAAAGGCCCGGCCCTTTCGGATTTCAGAAAGATCCCGGAGGACTAGGGCCGAGGGACAAAGGAAAGTGAGGTCAGGGGCGGCCTTTCCAGCTCGGGATAGGCCTGGGGTCACTCACCCGCCACCCCTCACACTTCAGTCGGCCCGGACCACCTCAAACCTGGCCCCTTAAGTCCCGAACTAGCTGGAGCCCGGGCCCTGGGCTCGCTCGCGCCCCTTCCGCGAGGCCCCATCCCAGGCCCCCGCCGCCACCCAGAGCCCCCGCACCTTCTTGGGCGCCTTGGTGACGGTGGCCATGAAGGAGTACTTTTCAGCGTCCTCAATCTCCTTGGCCTGCTTCAGCTCCTCCCCGACCCCGGGCAGCGGCATCGCGTCAGGCATCGACATCCCCCGGCCGGCCCGGCCCGCGGCTGACCCGCCGCCCCCGCCTCTTTCCCTCACCGGCGCCCGCCCGCCCGCCCGCGCGGCACCCTCCGACACGCGTTCGCCCACCCTCCCGCCGGGCCCGCGCGGAGCTGCGTCCGGTGCTAAGGTGCTGTGGCCAGCGTCTCGTCCGCTCGGCAGTCTAGACCAGCCGGACAGCGACGGCGGCGACAGGAGCACCAAGAGCAGCAACGCCGAGCTCCGACCGGCCCGCGCCGCCACCTCCGCCGCACGCAAACACGCACGCAAAGTAAGGGTAGAGGGCGGTGACGCCACGTCAAGTACTGGCAGCTCCGAGCGGGGCGGGGTAAGGGGAAGAGGCGGGGAGAAAGGGCGCCCTGTCATGACGTCACCACGCTGGACCGGGCTTCGAAAGCCACGCCTTCTTCTTCCTGCCTCTCTGGGTCCCAGAGTGAGCCGGACACTTTCCGCCGCCAGATGGCGGCATCAGCCCTGTGAGCGGCGCGTGGTTTCCGCAAGGACGCCTCGGAACTTGGCGGGAAGAGGGAGGGTTTCTTTGGGCTGTGGGGTTCCCCGCAAGGCCTCAGAAGGGCGTATGGGGGATGTTTGGAAGCAAAGACCAGAGCCCCACGCGACATATTCTACAGCCAGTACCAGGAAATAGTCGGGGACCCAGACAACCCATTCACTGCCCCAGACCCTTTGGACCAGGAGCCTCTTCCCCTTCTGCTCACACTTACGGGGTGAGCAGAACAGACTCAGAGCAGTTTGGCTTCCGCACAACCTTTTGTGACCTCCTCCACCACCGTCTCCGCTGGGTCTTGCTTGTTTACAAGACCTTGAGGCCGCAGAGCTAATATCTGGCCATTGGGATAGGGCTAATGGATAGAGAGTGGAGAGAAGGAGAGGGATTTGGGGGTGGGAGAGACAAGTCCTGCCCCGAATGGTTTTCTTGCTCCCCCACCCCCACCCCCAGCATAGACTCTGCCAACTCCCGGTGGCACCCAGGGCATTCTTTTACTGGCCCCAATATGTGCTCTATGCTAAGGCCCTGGATGGTAAAGGTGTGTGTGATACATTTTGTTTTGCAAGGCTTAGTCCAGCTGCAAAGGCAAAGCCTATTTGGAACCTAATGTCAGCTGAGGTAGCATGTCCTTTGAGATTTAAATGACACTGGCTGAATGCCCATGTCCTGTGGAAAGTCCAGTGCCCTCCCCAGGATTTCTGTGAATTACTGGGGCGGGGGTGGGGGGGACTTAGATTTTCATGGTTACCTCTGGCTCTAGTTTTCTGCCATATCTGAAGTTGTATTCACTATTCTAGCGGTGTTGGCCGTTTCTTCAGTTCCTGCTGTCAATTCAAATATGGAACACAGCCCCCACCCCTATTCCAAAACAATTGCAAAAATAATGCTGTAACATGTAGCAGAACTTTTAATGAAGGTTTGTGGGCCACAGGGGAGAGATTACATCACACAGCAAACAATTTAAAATCACATTTCTGAAATGTTCTGAAAAGTTATTTTGGCTGTCCTGTCACCTGGGGTTTCTCACTGGCCACACCACCCCACAAAGCTCCTCTAGCCCACTGCTGTCTATTGTGCTTCCTCCTGTTACTCCCTTCCTATATTATTTTATTTAAATTGAATTAATTAACATATAGTATATTATTCGTTTCAGAGGTAGAGTTCAGTGATTCATCAATTGTATATAACACCCAGGGCTCATTATAATATGTGTCCTCCTTAATGCCCAGTCACCCAGTTACCCCATCCGTTACTCCCTTCCCATTCTTCCACCTCCCCCTCTCCTCCTTGAATGACTCTGGGAAGCCAGATTCCTCTCTACTGTGATGAGTAATTCAGGTCTTCCCAGTGCCCTTTTCTCAAATTCTCCCTGCCTCACCAAGCCCACCGCCTTATATCCAGAAGCCCACCAGGTCTTTGACAGGCTCAACTCTTCAAGAAAGAAGCTGTGCTTTGAAATGACATCTTTTTCACTGCTTTGTGTTCAAGACTGGGGAGAGTGTGAAATATATGCCTCTGGGGCCCTAGAGTCTTAGTCAGAGAAGCTCATGTTCCAACCACCCCACCCCAGGGGGCCATCTGTTTAAATCAGGCTTCGAAAGTGCCCAAAAGGAAGCATACTTCTGCAGATCCTCATCCTAACTGTTAGAATTCTCTCCTCTGACCCCTCTTTCAAGCCCCCAACTTCCTTCTCAGCTGTATTCCTGTCCCACAAGGGACAGAGAGCAGGAGGACCAGAATACCAGATTCATCCACAAGGGTGCCAGACTGGTACCTTCCTCTTTATCTCTCAGCAGGGGCCACGAGCCATACTTGCCCACCCAGGAGTCTTTGGACCTATAGCCTAAAGTAGCTCGTATCCTGTGGGTTTGCCCAAACTGTTGTCAGAGTCCAGGGATCAGAGGTGCCTGCTCAGAGAACAGAGGCAGAGCCAGTTGGAACAGAGGTGAAAACTCCACATCCCTAGAATAGGAAAACATGTGACTTAGGATAGCTTATTAAAAACAACAACAAAAACCAAAAAAAAAGAAAAAAGAAAAAAAAAAACAAAAACACAAAAAAAGTAGATGTGTCTGTCCTTTGGATTTGATCTTTAAAACTCCCATTGTCTGAGAGCTTTGTCTCTCCAAGCCCAAGTTCTGCCATGCGTGTTAGCAATCAGACTGAGACTCCTGGAGATGGAAGATCCCTTTTCTCTGACTCCTCCTGCATCAAAGTAACAGGTTTTCCCTAACACCTCACTCATAGAACTGGCCGCTGCTGCTGCTGAGGATGCTGAAAATAGAGCCAGGCCCTGACAGAGCAGTACCTTTGCAGTTTGAGCCAGGAAGGAAACTGGCAGGCTGGGGAGGCCGAGCTAGGGGAACTGGGTGCTTAGACTGGAAGGCAGGAGGGACAGTCCTCCCTCCCTGCCCTGGAAAAGGCAGCAGGGCTATGTGGTTCACATTGGACCAGGGCCCAGGGCCTTTCCGGAAACCAGCCTGCCACAGAGGACAAGGGTAGATGCTATTGCCCCCACCTTTGTGGGCTAGAGCCCCAAGAACTCACCCGGGTGAGAACTGTTGCACGCCGCCCCTCTCCCTCCTAGACAGTCCCACTTGGCCCAGCTAAGGGGGTCGCTTCTCATGGATGACAAGAAATGACCTGTCCTCAGCCCACCCACCCACCTATCACCTATCTGACTCGGCACCTCTGAGGTAAAGTCAGGTGGATGAGTCAGGGCTCACTCCCGTGAACAGCACAATCCACACACAGAGGAGAACAATGACCAGGGGCCCACGTTTGAGAAGAGCAGAGCCCCAAGGACAGGTGCCTCTGTTGTGTGTGGCGGAGGGAAGGTGCCAACGAGCCTTGGGGCCAGAAGTGACCCTGCTCTAGAAAGAAGTAGCCTGAGGGTAGAGATGAATTGGGAGATGCCCTCACCAGAAATGTGCGGGCCCTGGGGTATCACACATCACATCTGGGCTTGGTCTGGTTAATCAAATTGACCCTTCTGTCTACCCCAAAGCGTACCCTCCGCATTCATTCATTTTTTTAAATTCATAAAATAGAGGCGCCTGGGTGGCTCCGTTGGTTAAGCCACTGCCTTCGGCTCAGGTCATGATCCTGGAGTCCCAGGATCGAGTCCCGCATCGGGCTCCCTGCTCGGCAGGGGGTCTGCTTCTCCCTCTGACCCTCCTCCCTCTCATGCTGTCTGTCTCTCATTCTCTCTCTCTCAAATAAATAAATAAAATCTTTAAAAATAAATAAATAAATAAATAAATAAATAAATAAATAAATTCATAAAATATACATCGAATGCTGAAGATGTGCCAGGAGCAGCGCTAGATAGTGGGGCCACAGAGACAAAAGAAGTACTGATCTCTACTGGGGGACAGATGGGGGGGTCTGGGGGGGTAGGGGGTGGGGATGAGCAGGATAGGCTTTGTAGAGACAGATGCTCCTTGAGCTGACTCTTGACATATAAGCAGCTGGACAAGGTAGGGAAGGGATAGCATGAGAAAAGTCAGGGCAATGAAATAACTTGGTGTATCATAGTCACTGTAAATATTTCAGTGCAGGTGGGGCCTAGGGTGCAAAATGGAGCAGAGTGAGAGCTGAAGGTGGAGCCAGATCCTGCAGATCCTCACAAGCCGAGGGCGGGTGGTGGTGACGTCCACCAGGATAGGGAACATGGGAGGAGAAGCAAGTCTGGGTGGAGGGGCTGCTGAGATAAGGAGTCAGCTTCAGACATGTCGAGTTTGGTATGTCCATGGAGAGCACTGTTCCCAAGTCCCAGGGGAGCCTAGGTTGGTGCCTTTCATACCTGCTGGCTCCCTGCCAGGCTGGCACCCCACAGAGCAAGGCTGGCCTTGCCCTGGAGGCATTTCACTGTCTGTAGGCCAGGCCTCCCTTTAGCCCTCTGAAATGAAAGGTGCAGAAAAATTGCAAGAGATCTTGGATGACCTCAGAAGCAAGGGAGCAAGGCTCAGTGGCTCTACGTTCGGCGGATCGCCTCCCATCTTCTTTCTGTCCCGGGGCCTCCATGTTGCACAACTCTGGGAGGCACCATGAACATTGACATGTAGGGGATCCCTGAAGCAGGACTCCAGATTGCTAATCTGCCCTCCTGGTCCTGAGGGACCCCCAGAGGCGAGGCTCCCAGATGCACCTCTGCATCTCGGGGCCGGGGGAGGGGGGCATGGGGCCTCTGGCTCTGCAACCATGCTTGGCTCCCGCCTCCCACCCAGCTCCTTCACTCCCCATGTCCAGTCCTCCCCCTCCCTTTGTAACTCTAGCCCTTTTGAGAAGATGGACAGTCCCCCAGGGGCCTTCTCCTTCTCTGCTCCTCCTCTGCTTCTGACAATCATATTTATAATTTATTATTGTTTGGAACACTATAGGAAAGAAAAACCTGCGAAGATAAAAATCTCTTCACATCTCTCTAAGTTCACTTCTGGTTCTTGGCCATTTGCAGAAGCTGGCATTTACATACCTGTGATTAGTAGGTGCATGTCGCTTTGTGTTCTGCTTTGATCAGATTACAATATTTCGAAAACACATTACCACATACAGAGATTGCTTACATGCTTGTCCTTGTCAGCATTTCCCAAGCACTCCATCATCTTGCCATAAAAGTTAGCTAGGTCGTGCTCCCCGTGCTGGGCCCTGGTGTCCAACTTAGTGCCATCTGAATAAAGTGTGGGTCAGAGTAGGAGTCAGAGTGGGACAGGCTTTCAAACAAAATAGACAAGGTTGGGTCACAGCCCCCAGGTCCTGCCAGAGAGAAGGAGCAAAAATGTAAAGAGTGGGGTCAATTGTCCTGGCTATAAATAGAAACTGGGGGGAAGGCACCTTTCGGCCATAGGGGATGTGTGGCCCAGGGCTTGGAATTCGTGGTGGCTAACTCACTGGGGGCCGGCGGGTGCTGCATGGCGTGGAGGGAAGCCGGGCATCCGGACAGACGGCGATGTGGCCTCTCAAGTCTTGACTCTGCTACACCAACTTGGCTGCTGGAATCCTGGGCCTTTCCGGGCCTCCGATTCTTCATGCAAAACAGGGGGATAGCTCTCCATCTGGGGCTTGTGATGATCCAATCTCATAAAATAATAAGTATCAAAGAGCTTTGAACAAGTTACAAGTATTGTGCAAATGCAAGTTACCAAAATGTGGCTCCAGCTAAAAGTCGAGAGGGGAAGGTGTTATCGTGGAGAATTTGGAGTTCTCTCGGTGCCCCGCTTCCCAGAATGAAGAGCAGTAGCTACTTGCTTGTCAGTGCTGGTGCTGAGTCCTTGCTTACACTGGGACTGTACTTCCTTGAGAATTGCAGCTGGAACCGTCCCAGTCATGAAGAGCTGCCACCTCCCTGGTGCAGCCTGGCCGGGGCTCTGGCTACTGTGTATCCAGGAGCCCCTGCAGACTTCCTCAAATGCTTTCTCCTGGGTTGGACCGGAGAGCCTGATGTATCTTTCTTCAGTTTGCGTTTTCCAAAGCTGCAGCCCGGAAAAGTTAAGGCTGAGCAAGCATCCAGTCATTGTAAACAATGTTCAAGGAATCTGTTTTGATGGTTCTTTGTGCTACTTTGTGTACTTTCTTGTGCCTGTGAGTGGGGGGGGGGGGGGGCGCGCACGCGCGCGCGTGTGTGTTAGTGGTAAGGAGTTTACCAAAAAAGCAGACTCCAGAAATTGTGAAACTGGCCTTGGGCACCAGACTGTGGCCAGGTCTCTTCCAGTCAGTTATTTATTAAGCACAGGCTTTTTGTCAGGGGATGAGCTGGATGCCAGGGCGCCTGCAGTCAACAAGACAGACACTCTTCCTGTCCTCATGGGGCTTAGAGTCAATAGCGGGACTCGGTCACAAAATCTGTCCCCCGCCATACCTTTTCAGAGTAGGGCCCTCTTCCTTCCTCTCTCCATGTGCCCCACCCTGCAAAGTCCTTCTGAGAAGTAAACTGCATTTGCCATGCCAGACCTCAGGGTGGGGAGGAGGATGGCCGTCCATCTCCAGAGTTTGCATCGACTTACCAACCCCTGGCTCTGTCCTGGAGTTTTAGAAGTTCCTGGAATACTGTCTCCCTGGCAGATATCCTGTCCCAAGACCATGGAGAGTGGGCTGGTGAGGCGGAGGTACCAGTTTGCCGGGATCGGGGACTGCATAACCTGTCTCCACCTCTCACCAGCCTTGGCTTCCCACCTACCGCTGGCCACCTGCCCCTAGGGCTGGAAATGGTCTTGGATTTGGGAGAGACAAGAGGTTGGCCAGGTTGATTAGATCTGCTGTTGGGGGCTCAGAGAGGGATTTGCCTTGACGGGAAGGACACTGGGGCTGGATGCAATGGGACAGCCAGCCAGAAGCTTCAACCCTCTAAGTCTCCGGTGGCTGGGATCCTGCCCCCTTTACCCCAAAGGCCCTGCTCCAAGGTTGGCTTGTTGGAGCTGGAGGAGTATGGTCAGCTGTCAGTGTGGAGGCTGCTGCTGGGTGGGAGCCCGCCTTCCTCACCCTCTCTGGTGTGCAGGGCGGGCCCCATTGCATCACCCTTGGAGCCTCTGCTCCTGGCTTTGCAGCCAGCTGGGCCCCTGGAGGAGGGACTCTCCCTGTTTTTCAACAAGCCTTTAACCATTTCACCCTCCCGGGCCTTCCTATAGCTGACTTAGATTCCCAGCGCTGCCCCTCACACCCGTCTGTCTGGATCTCGCAAACCTCCGTTCTGCTCTGTCATGTGCAGGAGTTCTGCGTGGGCGGCCATCTGAGGGTTGAAACCTCCACCTTAGGCATGGCAAGCCTGGACTCTTCCCCAGGAAAAGAGTTAAACTCCCTCATCCCCACCCTCAGCATTTGTCCCATTCTGCAGCAGTGAGGAAAGGCTCCTCGGCCTCTTGCATGAGCTCATGCCACTTCCACACTCCAAACAGAGCCCGGACAAAGGGTCAACACAATGTTTTAGACCACAAGCAACAGTGGGGCCCAAGCGGAGACCAGGAGCTTGGACCTTAACCTCTCCCCACAGCCCCTCCAACCATTTCCTGCAGACCTGCTTGGGCCTTGGCCCACCCCTCCCCCGCCCCAGGGACCCAGGGAAGGGATGGGCAGGGCTAGGGTCCTAAGGGGCCCGCAGGGGTCTGATGGAAGAGTTCCTAGTACACAGCGTTTCCCTGCACCAGCCTGGGTGGCGGGGAGAGGAAGGAGGCAGAGATGCCCTTCCAGGCTGTGAAGCCTAGGCCACATTCCTGCTCAGGCCTTTTATCTCGCAGTCCCAGCATTCCCCTCATCGCCCCACCCATTCCTGGGCCTGAAATAGCCTGAAACTTGAGCCAAGCCTAGGCCCAGGTCCCAATTTTAGTTCCACAAACATTTGGCTGCACCATAACATGTAGCATCCTGGGCTGGGTCCTGTGGGGGCCACAGAGAGGAGTGAGGCCCAGCCCCTGCCCTCAGGGAGCTCGAAAAATGTACCCTGATGACTGTAGTCTCAGGCATAAGATGCGAGAGGAAAAAAGAAAGAAAGAGAGAGAGAAAGAAAGAAAGAAAGAAAGAAAGAAAGAAAGAAAGAGAAGGAAAGAAGGAAGGAAGGAAGGAAAGAAAGAAAGAAAGAAAGAAAGAAAGAAAGAAAGAAAGAAAGAAAGAAAGAAAAAGAAAGAAAGGAAGAAAGAAAGAGAAGGAAAGAAGGAAAGAAAGAAAGAGAAGGAAAGAAGGGAAGAAAGAAAGAAAGAAAGAAAGAAAGAAAGAAAGAAAGAAAGAAAGAAAGAAAGAAAGGAAAAGAAAGAAAAAAGAAAAGAAGGGGGGTCCCAAGGGGGGTGGCCTTGTGGAGAGTCGTTTTGGCAAAATGAAAAATACTGGCATTTCTTCTCCATCAAGTGTCATGGAACTATTTCACTAGTTTCAAAGGCCTAGTGGGATTTCCACAGGCAGGAGCGAGGGCCACTTGTTCTAGGAGAACAGCAAGAGCAAAACCGCGGACGTGTAAACCTCAGCGCATGTTCTGGAACATGGCCCACAATCTAGTTTGACCAGAGCACATGGGAGGATACTGAGCTGCTTATGGTTTCCATGAATATGTCATTTAATTTACTGGCAAGTTCTCTTAACTTCCTACAGACTGAGGGCTCCGAGAAGCAAGGACTTACAGGCCCACAGAACTTCCCAGACCGGAAAACGGAGGCACAGAGAGCTAAAGAGACTTGCTCAGCGTTATAAAGCACAGTAGCGACAGAGTGAGGACTGGAACCTGGTTCCCCTACTCTTATCCGTCTTTGCCCAGTTTGGTCTCTTAATCCATGGAGCTGACTGGCCCAGCTGACCTTGCCCCGCTTTCCAGGCCAAGAGATGTTTGAAATGAACAGCCAGCGATCAAGGATGAACACAGATTTAGTCACATGAATGTGCCTCATATCATCGTGCATAAATGAGGAAACGAATAGTTCCATGACACTTGATGGAGAAGAAATGCCAGTATTTTTCATTTTGCCAGGTTTATTTAAATCTGATCACAAGCCCCATCCACAGTTGGTGAGTTTAAAATCATTATTAGGTCCTCATCCCCTGGCCCATTGGATTTAACAAAAAACAAAACAAAACCCACAGAAACCCAAAAATGCCCAAACAAACAAACAAAGGTTTGATCTTGTAAAACTGGGGCAGCTGGTCTTTATTCAGGGGAAATGACCACAGTAACATCTGCTCCCTGTACTACATGCTGAACGCTGGTCCTTTCTGTCTGTGACTATTGGTTCCTCCACACAGCCATCCCAAACCAGATTCCACCACCCGGGGGGGCCAGGGGGGGTTGGCGCGGGGTCAGGGGATGTGTGTTCCAGCTGGATCTCAACATCTGCCACTTGTGGACACTCGTGATCTCGCGCCTTCTTCTCAGGTACTAGAACTAACGGCCCCGAAGGTAAGGCTCTCGCTTCTCCAGCTTGGAAAACCAGCTCCAATTCCCCTTTGACCTCCAGGACTGGAAGGTCTAGCTACCCTCCTGGGAGGATGTGGGGAAAATACTTCACATTCTTTCCTGAAGAGTCCACAGCCAAGAAAACCACATATAGCTGATTTCTCAATCACATTATCCCACCACTTTAAATGTTCAATTAATCACGCTCTCCCATTTCCAATAGCAAAAGAAAAGTGTAGCTGCAGGCAACCAAAACTATGGTCAAGGCCATACCATGCAAGAAGGCTTAATGACCCGGACAGATGCTCATCGTGAAATGGCTAGCCAAAAAAGTCAGATTTTCAAACAGCGTTACAGCACTGTGTATGGAAAGACTCCGTTTTCCACCTATGAATGGGGAAAACCCAGCTCCTGCCCAATGTGTGTCTCTCCTGTGTATCTTCTTTACTTTTAGACAGAGCACCTCACTTCTGGTCTCCAAATGTGTAGAGGTTTTTCCCCAGAGCAAGCAATTCTCTGTGACACCAGCTGGGGTTCCCATAATTCGACCCCATTCCAACACCGTCTAATTAGGAGACAGCATCAGATGCCACAGGTGAAGGGCTCAGTCCCACAACACAGACACCTCCCCGCCAGCCCCACTTCAGGCGCCAGTCCAGTCGCATGCTCAGGCTGTCACTCGTGTTTCTGACCAGCCAGCTGTAGATCAGAGATTCCAGTGACCCCACCTTGGGTTTGATTACTTCGCCAGAGCTGCTCACGGAAGTCAGGGAAACACTGACTTATATTTGCCAGTTTCTTATATAAAGGATATGATAAAGGATGAACACCCAGATGGGAGAGATGCCCAGGGTGAGGTATGTGAGAAGGGACATGGAGTGACCCCTCTCCCCGTACCTCCACATAGTCGTCAGCCTGAAAGCTTTCTGAGCCTTTACCTGTGGGCATTGATGGACTTAGTCTCACAGAGGTATGATCAATCATTAACTCCATTTTCAGCCATTCCTTCTTGAAGAGCCTGAAGATTCCGAGCTTCAAGTCATGGTTTGCTCTTTCCATTGACCAGCCCCCACTCAGAAGCCCACCAATAGTCACCTCGCTAGAACAAGAGATACTCCTGGGGCTCTGATCATATGGGAAATTACAAGGGTTTTAGGAGCTCTTTAGGAGCCAGGAATGGGCGACAGAGGCCAATATATATTTTCTGTTATCTCTCAAGTGTGAACCAACTTTTTGGTAAATGTAAAATCACTTATTTATACAAAGAGAAAAGAACTAAAAAGATAAACACCAAAATGCTTATTTCCTCTCTGAGGTGAGATCACAGGTCATTTCTATTTTCTCATTTGTGTGTGTTTTCATTTTCTAAAAATTTGACAGTCAGTGCATATTACTTTTGGTGAGCAATTTGAATAAAAATGTAATTTTCAATATAAAAGTAATGTATCCTTGTAAAAAGAAATCTAAGCAAACAAATGTATGTACAACAAAAGTGAAGCACACACTCCAGGCTTAGAGTGGGGAACCTCACCTCCACATAATATTTTTTGTATTTTCATAGATGGGATTTTTTTATTGCATAAATAAGGCTATTCATATTATTCTACAACCCCTCTTGTGACAGTTACCTGGTAAAATTGAGATTACAATGATACCTACCTTGT